ATACATGAATTCACTCAGGCTCCGGATTTTTGCCACCCACGCTCCTGATTTTTGCCACCCACGCTGTGTACACTCTGGGAAACATGCTCTGTCAAAGGTGCAGTAAAATTGTGAATCTCGCCAGAAGCTCTCTCTCAAAGGTTCACTATCCCCCTAGTTTTGCCAGCAATAATGCTGGACTCTGCATGTGGCCATGCATGTGACCTCTAAACTTAGAAGTCATCCAGGGCAGAGCTTACATTTTAGATCTCAGCCCTTTCTGTGGCTGTCCTGCTTCCAGAATATACACCTTAAATTTCCATCTGCTCTATCTCTGAACTTTGTATTACTACCATGATCTGGTAAGGATGCAGCTTTCCACTGCCAGATCTAGCAGGGCTTGGAGCACAAAAGAAAGCAAGAAAGCCATTAACTCCCAGTTCTCACCCAATCAGTAGACACCTTCTATGGTAAATTCTTATCACCTACCTTTGGTCATCTTCCAGAACCTTCCAGTAGTTGTTTCCTTTTTTAATAATCTGGCCACTGTTTATCACTATTACCTGCTAGAGAAACTATCTGACTTCTTCAAGTTGCCATTACGTGAAGTTATGTTATTAGCCTCACATCCTGTCTTCCTGCTTCCACCCTCCCCTTCTGAAAGCCTCTTCTCCACACAGAAGCCAGAGTCATACCTTTAAAACATAAATCACGTATCACACCCCCCACAAAATCCTTGAAGAGCATTACAATCTGCTCAGAGTAAAGGTCAAGCCCTCATATGGCCTGCAAAGCCCTATATAAAGTTGCCCCCCCTCCCCTTGGGGCACCTGGGTGACTCAGTCGTTAAGCATCTGCCTTCAGCTCAGGTCATGATCCCAGGGTCCTGGGATCGAGCCCCACGTCAGGCTCCCTGCTCAGTGGGGAGCCTGCTTCTCCCTCTCCCACTCCCCCTGCTTGTGTTCCCTCTCTCGCTGTGTCTCTCTCTGTCAAATAAATAAATAGAATCTTTTTAAAAATAAATAAATAAAGTTGCCCCAGACCACCTCTCAAACCTTATCTCTTAGCAGTCTCCCCTGGACCATTCTCCTGGGCTTCCAACACACCCAGCACACTTCAGCTTGCCCTTCACTTGGCCTAAAACACCTCCCTCACTTAGTTGCATGACTGGCTCCCCTCACTTTCTCCAAGTTTCTATTCAAATTTTGTCTTGCTAGAGAAGACTTCCCTGATCACCCAATCTAAAATACCATTCCTCTCTACCATATACCCATCATCTTCACTTCCCCTTCCCTGCTTTGCTCTTCCTCATTGTATTTACTGCCACTTGATCTCATTTATTTATGTTTATATATACATATACCATATATACATACGGTTTACTATATATCTGTTCTCACTTAAACATACACTCTATGTGGCAGGAATTTTGTTGCATCCAGTATCATAATTGTAGGGCCTAGAACAGAGCCTGGTAGGTAGAAGGTGCTCAATAAACAGAAGTCAAATAAATGAATGGGTTAAGTGCTGTTATCTGTTAGGCATTATTGTATTAACTAATGTTACTTTCATAGTACCCCATCAATGGGCACTATAATTATCCCTATTACAGATAAGGAATCAAAGCACAAAGAGTTGAAGTCCAAGTTAACAAAACTAACAAGAAGTGGAGCCAGGATTTGAGCCCTGGCAGTCTCATCTGCAAAGCCCATTGCATTAGTCTGCTCTGGCTGTCATAACAAAATATCAGACTGGGTGGCTTGAACAACTGAAATTTATTTTCTCACAGTTCTGGAGGATAGAGGTGATGGCAGAGATAGTTCCTGGTGAAACTTCTTTCCTTGGCTTGCAGATGGCTGCCTTCTCACTGTACCCTCATACAGTTTTTTTCTGTGTGTGCCCTCCTGATGTCTCTTCCTCTTCCTGTTGGATTAGGGCTCCACCCTTACTGACCTCATTTAATCCTAATTGCCTCCTTAAAGGCTCTATCTCCAAATATAGTCGCAATGGGGGGGGTTAGGATTCTAACACATGAATTTTGGGAGGGCCCAATTCAATCCGTAACATTTGTAATTTATACCCATAAAATACAGTTATTTTCAACATCTTTCCTTTTTATTTTAGAGAATTAAGTTTTTTTCTCTAGTTCTTTTTAGACAGACAGTGAAGAAACTTTCAGGGTGCTGACCAGGCCATAACATCACCTGGCAAGTGAAATCTACTAACATAGCTACACCGAGGATCTTCAGAAACAACTTGGTCTCATAAAACACCATATGATTGGGCCAAACATCTGCCAGTGTACTTTCACACACCGTGATTTAACTCAGTGCAGCTCTGGGAATTATGTTTATTTGTAACTTCTAATACAGAACCAGCAGAAAACCATACTTCTGGTGAGTCCCTGATGGAAATCCATTCACCTCCTTGGTCCTCCTTAAACACACCGTGCATGCTCCCATCTCAGGGCCTTTGCACTTCCTGTTCTCTCTGTAACACTTCCCCTCCAGATAGCTTCATGACTCATTTTTCTCCTTATCTAGGTTTCTTTTCTAGTTATCTACATGAATTCTTGCTGGAACAACCTATTTAAAATTCCAAGCATACTTTCTTCCTGCACTTCCCCTATCTATTCTTCCCTTCTCTACTTGATTTTTCTCTGTGGCATTAAAAGAAAAAAAAAAAAAAGCCTCTTCCCTCTACAGTGCAAGCAAGATGAAGGTAGGGGTTGTTGTTTGTTTTATTTGCTGCTATTTCCCTAGCTCCTAGGAAAGTGCTCCTAGCACACAGGAGACACTTAGTAAATGTTTGCTGAATGAATGAACAAACTTCCCCAAGGTTATAGAGCTCCAGTGGTAGAACTGGAATTTGAACCACATCTGAACAAAAGCCTAAAAATTTAACTGCTGAATTATACTGTACATAGCAACCATGTGATGTAAGTTTTAATAAGATACAAATATAGTCAAAGAGCAAAAACTGCTCTTCTCTGACACAAACAGACTTCATATAGTGATAGAGAAACTTAGTGTGAATAAAAATTAGTACTCCTTACAAGCTATAAAAATTCATTCTTTATAATACTACAGGCAGCTGACCATTTGTACAATTGAATATTTTGTATAAAAGTTTGCAGGGCCAGAAACTTTTCAAAAGTAAACAATGTAGTCTAGTTTCCATTGTTGGATAAATAAAAAATTGGTTGTAAGGTTTTCCCAAAAGATGGTAATATTCTATTCCTAGCCCAAGAGAATGAGTACGTAGGATAATTCATTCATTCGCCAAATATTATTAACCATTTAACCAAGCGTTGTACTACGGATACAGCAGTGAACAAAACAATTCTTACATTTTTAAAGGGGAAACAATAAAAACAAAACAAAGAATAAGGAATGTATTCATGTCATAAAAACGTTGGTTTTGTAATAAATGGCCTTTGTAATTTACTCCTAAATAATTCAGAGTAAAATTTTATCACAGTGGTGAAAACCTCAGATGACCCAGGTTGGAATCTCCATTGCTGTGACCCTGGCAAATTGCAAACTTCAAGTTGCAATTCCACAAATAGGGGAAAACAGAACCCGTCTTGCAAGGCTGCTATATGTAAAAATGTTAACTGTTGAAAAAGAAAATATACAAGAAAATATTTAGCACACTGCAGGGTAAATAATATCAAATAATATTATTATTAGGCTATATAAACAATTTAATTCTTCCATTGTGTGAAACCCCATATGAAAGTCTTGGGCTTCATATTTAATTGTAGTTTCCTTTCTTTTTTGGGAAGCTACCACGAGTCATTCATTCATTCATTCATTCAACAAATGTACACGGAGCCAGGTATTTTATTAGGCGCTAGAAATACATCAGTTTACAGGACAGACACAGTCTCCAAATTGCCATGTTATCATAAGTACTGGGTATTACTAGAGCAAACTGATAGTCTAACTTTTCAACAAGAAACAGTAACTTTAAAGAAACCAGTATTTACCAAGTCCTGTTACAGGAGACCACTCTAGTGGTACTTTGCATTTTGGAGAATGCTCAGTGAATAAAGTTCACTACCAAGGGCAAGGTTGGGAATGCCTAGAAGCAAAGTAGGAGCCATATGGAGTCCTCTCATCATTCTACTTCTAAAATGGACTCACCTTAGCAGAATTTAAGTTTCTCGAGGGCAAGAAACCCCAGAGCCTACAAAAATTCATGGCACATAGCAGATACTTTATAACAGTTTCAACTGAACTAGTACATATTCCAGTTCTTCACTACTACCATCCTAATCCCTGATACAATCATCTCTTTCTTGTACTACTGAAAAACCTTCTAACCGGCCTCAGTTGCTGCTCCATTAGTCTGTTCTTCAAATAACCAAATAACTATTAAAATTATTTTTTCAAATGTGAGATTAAGTCCTTCCAAATGTTTCCCATCACATTGATCACACCTGCCGTTTCCCAGGACCTGGCTCTAACCACTCATACTTTCCTCCTGAACCTCAACCAGCCCCGCTCTTCCGTGCCTCTGCGGTTCCCAGAGCCTGAATTCCTTTCCTGTGGCTCACGGCAGGCTGGCGCCTTCTCATGCTTCTGCCCACCTAAATTAAAGCAGCCTCCTCACACAATCGCTACCACGTTTAACTGTTTTTATTTTTTCTTGGCCATTATCAATATTTGAAATTATTTTGGTGTGTTTCATTAAGTGTTGATTTATCTTCCGCCTTGTTCTGCTTGTTCTGCTTGTTTCCCTCCAGTCAAGAAACTGTCCAATTACTCAAAGAAACGCCCGGGCGCGATTTCCTGTTCTCTTTAAATTGGGAAATACACAGGGACCCAAGGACAGAGAATCCGGAAGAACGTCCCGGGCCCATCCCGCCACGAACCTGACTCCACTTCCGCTGCCCCCAAGCCAGCCTCTGCCCGCCATGCAGCACACCTGTTTCCGCTCTTCCTACGCTAGGGAGACGCTTTGCTAGACTGGACGGTCTTTCCGCTCCCTGCCCGCCCCGCCCACCTGCCATTTACCTGATCGCCTCTCAGCTTCCACCAGGAGGCGCGCCTCCGGGGGCCGGGCCTCCGCCTCTGCCACTGACTTCCTCAGTACCCTCAGCACGGTCTCCGGGGGCAAGTCGACCAGTTGCGCCCAAACGGACTCCGTGTAGAAGTCCACCGTATGTGCGTTGGAAATGCACAAGGCTTTCCTCAGGAACTGCAGCAGCTCCTGCAACGTGGCACGCAACGTGAACAGGTCCTGGGTCACTGGGAGCGGGAAAGAAGCCGCCATGACGCTCACCCTCCCGGGCTGTAGGTGGCGCAAACGTAGCCGCAAGGCGAGGACTCGGTCGCAAGTAACAGACCGGATGAATAGAACTCCGATCTGGACTCTAGTTGGGTGATTGATTGCTTTTGTCTCATGACGTATTTTAACAGCGTCCGTTGCGTTTTTCTGGCGACTTGGTTGGTGTGCCATGGCGCCGGTAAGGCAGGTAGCGGAGTGGTCGGCAGGGGATTTTGAGACGCGTAGCCAAGGAGTTTCTTCGGTCGGATTCAAGAATAAGAACGTGAAGCAGAGGACTTGGCGATCTAATCATCCGCAGGCCTTCGCGGGGAGCGTTCGCGAGGGTATGTAAGAAGACAGCCTTTTACAGATCTTAAGGCCTGCGAAATCTTAGGATACGCTACCCGCCGGAGCAGGGAAGAAGGATTTAGGAACCAGACCCGGCCCGCCTTAGGGCAGAGAAAGCCATTCTTAAACCCGCTGAAGCCGTGGGACTCCCAGAACTGTGAATGGGAAGATGAGTCAGTGTTGCTAACTGTAATTCTTTAAATGTCTCCTCCGACTTAACCCCATTCTTAATCAGAATTGTTTTTCTCTACAGTTTTCCGGTGAAACCGTAAGTAGAGCATTTGTGGGTCCAAAGTTTTCCAGTCTTTTCTTACTGATCTTTCTTTGCTTCGCTTTAGTTTGTGTTTTTATTTGTCTTGCTGTCAGCAAGTTTCCTCAAATTCCATTTGGAATGTTTAAGTCTTTTTTTTTTTTTAAGATTTTATTTATTTATTTGACAGAGACAGAGATAGCGAGAGCAGGAACACAAGCAGCGGGAGTGGGAGAGGGAGAAGCAGGCTTCCCCCCAGGACGGAGCCCGATGTGGGACTCGATCCCAGGACGCTGGGATCATGACCTGAGCCGCAGGCAGACGCTTAACGACTGAGCCACCCAGGCGCCTGTTGAATGTTTAAGTCTTAAATAAGTTCAACTTTCTCATAACTGCTAGCTGTACAGAAAATCATACACCATCTCTCTTGTAGGAATTAGTTTAGTCGTAGAGTGTTTCTCTAAGGTAAAATAATTGATGTGAGGGTTTTTTTTTAAGTATTGAAGACCTAGATTAATTGTTTTAGATGTATTAAAGAATTTGTTTTGATTTGGGGTACAAAATCAAATTGGAGTTGTGTAACTAGTCATTGTCTCTTCTTTGGGATTATCACTGAGCGTGCATGACTGATTTTAGCCAGGTCTTTTTGCAAAGGACCAACATATAATTGATTCCATTCCCTTAAACTTGTTTTCTTGAAATGACATTTTAAAGCAAATTAGTGTAATTCTAGCTTGTGAATGTGATGATGTAAAAAGTTTTCCATTTTAAATTAACAGCTACATTTTTCATGCAATTTATTTTCTGAGGAAGTAATTTATGACTGATATTGTTCAATAGGGCAAGGCTTTGCATTCCGAAGAAAACTGAAGATTCAGCAAAATTACAGGAAATTGCTATGGAAGGAAAAGAAGGCCCGAACCTCACAGGAATCCCAGTTCACAGATCGATACCCTGAGCATCTGAAACATCTTTATTTAGCTGAAGAGAAAAGACTCAGGAAGCAACTTAGAAAAGTTGAACAGCCTTTGTCAGAAGAACAAGCTGATCAACCTTTGCCAAAGGAACAGTGTGACATCGACCAAGCTTTGTCAGAAGAGCATTGTAGTTTTGAGCAGCCTCAGTCATCAGAACAATGTAGCATAAGAATGAAGTATGTATTATCTTCCTTTCAAATCCTTTATTTTTTTTTTCAAATCCTTTATTTTTAAAAAAAATTTTCTTAGGATTTATTTATTTATTTTAGAGAGAGAGTGAGATCGAAAGGGGGGAGGGGCAGAGGGAGAGAGAATCTCAAGCTGACTCCCTGCTGAGTGCAGAGCCCAACATGGGGCTCTGTCTCAAGACCATGAGACCATGACCTGAGTTGAAACCAAGAGTCAGATGCTTAACTGACTAAGCCACCCAGGCACCCCTCAGATCCTTTGTTGTAGATATAAGTAGTGCTTTATGAAAGAGATTATAGCACAGTTTATGGAATTAGAATTTTTTTTATTTAAGGCATTATAGAAATCACAGTGGATTATGTGAAAATATTTTCAAGGAAGCTTTCTTTTAGCTTAAATGACTGCGTTAGGCTAGTTTAGGTTAATGGAAGAAGTAATGAAATTGGAATGAAAAGATGTGGGTTTTGGATTTCAGCCTCTTGAGTATATTTAATTTTTTTGGACCATGGTTAACTCCTGTTATTAACACATGTTTAAAAAAAAAAACTAACTTTTGAGAGGTATTATAGTGTAGTGGTTAATATCAGACTGGAGCTGGACACATATTGGTGCCTGGTGTCCTCTTCTCTTCTTTGAAATGGAGACAGTAATAAGTATGTAATTCAGAGCTGCCATGTTGTACAATTCTAGAATGGATTATTCACATAGACCCCATGGTATCGCTGACCCATCTCATGATGTTGGGAAGTGAGTTCATTTATATAAGGTACTTAAAAAGGCGAATGGCACATAGGAAGTGCTTCATGAATGTTAACTGCTGCCATTAATACTATTCTGGATTTTTTTTTCCGGAGGACATAGACTTGGTCCCAATTAAAAAACAAATGGCACAACTGTGTAACACTTCGGTTCTATAATAGCTAACTTACAAAGCTTTCTGCACACATATCTCAAGTTAAAAAACTGTTGAAACCTAAACCAGCAGAAAATCCACTTGTTACTTGGTACTGTAGCTTTTTAGTTCACTAAAATACTGTGCTTTAAAGTTGTTAACTATTTGTGGTAAAAGTAACAGGAAATAAGACCCTAGGAAAAAGTGTAATGGAGATAGAGACAGAGATATTAAAAATTCAATTTTTTTAGTAGGCTTGTGCATCATATTATTTAATAATGGATGTAAAGCTCTGGCAAATCTAGAAATGTAGATTTCAGTCATTCCTGGTAATAATTGAGGTGAAGAGGGTTAAACCATGAGACATGATATGAAAGTAACAATCATATTCTTAAAGATTACTTATTTTGAGGTCAAAGCAGAAAAAAATTATTGAAAAAGTTAAGTAGAACTGTCATAATTGGAGAAGGGAATACAGAGACAGTTAAGTCAGCCGAAGAAAGTTGTGCAAAGTAGGGATTGGTCATCTATCAAATACTATAGAGTCCAAGAAAAACAGGACTAAGACCAAGTCTTTGGATTTATGGTCTAGGTAATCATTGGTGATTTTGGAGAGATTTTAATAGATAACCCTTACTAAGATTTTGACCTTGCGTCCACGTGGAGTCTGAAGCCATGGTCATGGATATTACTGTCTAAAGAATGGAGATCAAGAAGAGAAACACTTGGGGAAATGCCTGGAGCAAGGAAGAAAAAACGATCAGGAGAGAAGAATGTTACTAGAACTAAGGGAGTGAAATTTTCAAAAGTAGTGAATGGTCAGCTAAATGAGACTGAATAGTGCCCATTGACTCAATCTTCATATTTGGTGAGGTCATCACTGTTTTGGCATGGACTGTTTCATTGGAGAGAGCAAACACCAGATTGCAAAGAGTTAAGGAGTGAATGTGAAGGAAAAAAAAGGAGTGAGTGTGAAGGGACTATTGTAGTCTATTCACTATTCTTTCTAGGTACTTAACTTACGAAAGAACAAAGAAAAGACTGATAGAAGAGTACATAGAATCTGGTGATGAGTAATTTATGCATTTGTTAAGAAAGCAGCTGCTGAAACCTGTTTTATTGTGGTTGTGAGCTGACGTAGTGAAAAATTGAGACTGGGAGAAAGAAGATTAATTACTGAATCAGATAGCTTGAGGAAATGGATGGAATCTGAGCCTGTCTGGGGATACCAGAGAGCGAGAAGTACTTCCAAGATAGAACAGCTTTAAATGGGGACTACCTTCAAGGTGTGGTCATTCATGACTGAGTAGATGAATTCAGAGACGATCGAAGCACTTTGGGATTAAAGTTCATGTCATCCATAACTTCTGTCACATCCTTCAATTTAATGCCTTTTTCAGTCATTTCTGCCATTGTGCTAGTTTCCTGTTTGTTAACATTTAGGATCTTTCACAGCTTTCTGTATTGTCTCTGGTTGAAATATTTCTCCATTTACCACTTTTTAATTATGTCTTGAAAGCTGTAACTCTAGCATGTTATTTGGATATTTTACTAATACGGTTTTGTTCTCTTTCTGCCAGCCTCTCTTCCCTGCTCTATTAATTTGCATCAGTGAGATTTTCCTATGCAAGTACTGTATTTGACATAATTGAGTCATAATTTTGGTTCTGTCACTTTTAATCCTTTGACTTACATATCTTTATCTTAAAAAGCTCCATTACTATTTCAAAGAAAAATAAAAAGAAAACATCAAATCAAAAAGCACAGGAAGAATACGAACAAGTACAGGCTGAGCGTGCTGCTAAGAAACAAGTAAGATCTTTTAAAATACTTAGATCCTTTTTTAAAAATGTATTCTAAATGTAGATGTATATAAAGCTGTTGTTTCTTAGTATGTGCATATAGTGTGTTCTTTGTAAATATTTGCTGAATAAATGAGTGGTTTGAGCAGAACTGTAGAATTTCAACAAATTCCTTGATCATTTATATTATCTTTGAGAAGAGATACTAGTTGGTCAAGAATAGGATTTTAAAGTCACTGCTCATAGGTTATGAGCGCTTGGGACAACATTTTTCAAGGGTATGGTCTGAGAAGTTGCACTTTGAACAAGTGCCTCAAGAAATTCTTAGTATAATAAAATTTGAGACCTACTGATGTAAGTAAAGTATAGATGATTATCATAATTTTACGTTGAAGTAAGTAAAAATCAGAGCGAGGCATTAGAATAAAATATTTTTCTCTGAAGAGTTGATCTTGCCTATTAAAAAGCTGCCTAGATTAACTTAGCAAAAAATTACCACTTTTTATTATTCAGAAACCCAAAATTAAAAGTCTTTTTCAAATGAGTACAATAAAATTATCCACAGCTTCAACAAAATTCTGCTTACTCTGTGGTTTT